TGGCATCGTCAGTGATGATGTCTTGTAAAGCTGTACGGGACGACCCGGAATTACACGGAGGTGTAGCCCAATTTTTGGAGAAGTTGCTTAATTCGAAGTGAGTTATTACTGATAGGTGATCAATTCGTCATTTACTTTTTATGGTTGTTTTTTATCATTTTTTTAATAATTGGTAGTGGCAGATGGTCGTTTGTCATTCCATTTTTGTCCTATCAAATCATCCTTTTCTCTACTGTAATGTAGCTCTATGAATTAGTGACCGTTTTTTCAATACTCAGTGTGTTTCCTGCAAACCCTTTTTTTTATTAAGCTTCTGTTTATTCAGTTGACTTTTGTTTTGCACGGCATCGCGAATTCAAAGAAATGTTTCCAGCTCGTTCCAGCGTTTTGTCCCTTGTTATCTAAGAAGATTATCCGTTTTTGGACAGTTTTGTGATGCAGAATCTTTTTCTGTGGTTCTTGACGTGCTACAGTTCTTAAACCTGTCGCGAATGTTCTGCCCTATCCTGACGGTACATGTTAAACTACTTACGAATGCTTAACTCATCACTAGTCTTCTGATTTAGATGTCGTTTTCCATTGTACAAAGAACTTATGAAACAAATATTATAGGAAAGAGTTTATGGTGATTTCGTTACTGTGATGCGGCGAATCCCGTTGCGATTTTGGGCTGCAGTAGAGCGTAATGATTTGGTAAAGGAGCATGCTGAATTTAAAGTATGGTATTGAATGATTACTTTATTGTACCTAACGCTTTTTGTTTTGTGCCCCGAACCTGTTGTCTCTTGATAGCTTCATTCTTGCGCAGGAAGTGTTTTTTTTGTGGATTTTATAGAATTCAAATAATTAAGTATACTGGAAGGAGAATTTTGTTGGGGGAGCAAATGGAGTATTCTTCAAAGGGAATTGAAAAAATGAGGAGCACAAGAGATTTAGAAGGCCGAATTCTGAAGTAATTCTTGTCAAACAAAGAGTTTCATAGCTTAAGGTTAATTTCCAATTCAGTAATAAGACTCAAGAGTAGTCTTTTTTTTCCTTAAATGACTCTGTCACTTTGCGTTCCTAATCATGCTGCAGGTCGAGTAGACAGGAAATATATTTGGGATTTAAAACAGTTACTGTATTTTAACAACTGAGCTCATTTCTTTTCTTTTTCAACCAGTGGTAATGTATGCAGTTTTGTTTAGCGCGAAGGGTCATATTAGTCCTGTTCTCCTTCTTGCGACTCGGATAAAAGAGTTATTTGTTAGTTCTAGGGGGAAGTAGTTTAGATGTTTTAGGGCTTAAAGACAGTAATCGTTTAATTATGCTCAAGGCAGTAAAGAGTTATGGACGGAAAGTACGTCGGCCTGTGCTGGTTCTTGTTGCAAAAGGAATTTTTACATTATCTTAATATCCCGTTACGGTTAAGTTTTGTTGGCTGGCTTGGTTTTTGCAAAGTCAAATGGTTTTTGTATCTACTGTTTTGAGACGTGGTACGTGGTTTTTTTTTAGGTGCAAGTGAGTTAGTTTTTTTTTTCTGAGCTAGTAATCTTGTGGAATTTTGAAATTTTCCGCTTTGTAGTGTAAAGGTTGAAACTTAGCACTCTATTAAGGACATCAATATATAATTTCTAGGCTTTAAAGGGTCGATTATTAAAGACAGTGTGCTTCTTTTCTTGAAATTTTCAAATTCCATTACTATTAATGGTTTTAACTGAATTCTTTGCATACTGATTTTTGCATTATGTGGTTTGAAAAGTCGGTTTCCCACTGTATCAGCAGCTCTTTTAATTTTGCAACTTTTTCTTTTTTATGCTAACAGGCTTAAGAAATTTAAGTTCATTGTTGTACATGCTCAGTTCTTTGTCACAAAGTTCTAGAAGGACGTGGGAGCTTTGAAATTTTTCGGAATTTAT